TTAATTAATTCTTCCATAAATTAGGAAATAATTTTATTAATTGAAAATTGAAGTCGAAGGACATTTTGGGTACTTTCTGAAGTTCAAGGATGAATTGGTTCAAAAATAAAAGTTGAGGGATCAATTCAAGTATTTAACCTAAAAGAATATGTTAGTCACGTCAACATTACTACTCAATTAATCCTTAAATAGAAAAAGTTGAAAGTTGATATTTTTAAGTAGAAAAAGTTGAAAGTTGACATCCTTATTTAGAAAAAATTGAAAATTAACATCCTTATTTAGAAACTGACAAAATTAACATCCTTAAATAAAAAAAAATATAAAGTTGAAATTCTTATTTGCACCTTTACTCATTCTGAAATTTGTGGGCCTCTAGCTTATGCGGTTGGGTCGGGCTCGATTGCCCCACTCAACTTAGTGGAAAATTGGGCTTTTGTATTACTATAGATTTTACGGCTATTTGATGTAATAGTTAAAATTCAATAGATAGTGGATAATAATAGATAATAGTAGTGGGTAATAAATAATAGATAATAGTAGATAATAGTAACGGGTAATAGGTGATGGTTAGTGAATAATGACTAGAGGAATAGCGAAAATGAGATACTAGATGATACATAATGGATTTGATTAATATAATTGTTTAGTTATATACAATAGTTAGGGGTTATTATTTAAAATTAAATGACTAATAATGATATATTTGAAAACAATTAAGTGTATTTTTTTATATTTTTTATTATTAAAATTATTAATTTTATAAAAATAATAATAATAAGTAAATAAGAAAATATATTATCATACACTAATTTTTATTTTAAATAAAAATTATATTAGCTTTAAATAAAGTACAAAAAAATATTATCTTTTTGTCTAATTCACAAATTTTGTTCATTAAGTTAATATTTTTTATGATAAATAAATGTAAAAATAAAAATATAATAATTACATAATATTATTAAAGAGAAAAAATAAATTTGAAACAAATTAGATAAGTACTAATTAAAAACCATAGTAAAAATTTTTTAAATTAAAAAATAAAATTGTGAATAAAATTAAAAAATTTTAATTTGCTAGTGATTTGATACAAAAGATATTTTAAATAATTTTTTCAATCCACTAACGGTTTGGACCCTAACAATTATCCATTAATTCTAAATTGCTAAACAAAAAATTCTAGCAAAACCTAGTTGTAACGGTTTTAAAATAAATAAGTTTATCAAAAAATTATTTTTAACAATTTAGGTAAAATCGCTAACTATTACTTTCAAAATTCTATACCAAACAAACCCTTAGAATAATTGTCCTTTTTTTAATTTTTTTAAAGTAAGAATTTAAAAACTATTTATGTATATACCTATATTATCTTTAAAAAAAAATTAAAATATAAAGTAAGATCTTTTGGGATAAAAGAATTGAATAATAATAAAGCTAAAATGAAAAATATTTATTTATGTTACAAATGAGAAAAAATAAAAATTAATTTAATAAATTTAGAGTTAAAAAAGGACAATTATGTTGGAAAAAAGGAGTAATGAATCCATTTGAAAAATTATTAACGGGTCAAGAAATACTACATCTGATTTATTAATCTTTATATTTTTAGAAATGCCTATCTTGTGTATTAAACAAAAAGGAAAAGTGCCAATTGGGTTTTCTATTTTTCAGCGTAGATTTTTTTTTTTTTTGGCGCCAAATTCTACTTTGTTTGTTAATATATTAAAAGTATATTAAAAAGATGAAGATTTTTTTCCATAAAAAAAAAGATTACAAAATCCAGAGACAATTGAATTTGGAAAAAAATCCAGAAACAAAAAGAACAATATCTTAAAAAATATATAATTTATAGGGCTTTCATCCTGTCCTTAGCTACAACTCACCGAATAGAATATTCCATTTTATTTTTGCAATCCACAGAATATGCCGTTGAATAAGGAAATTAAAAATCGAATTTTATCTTTTATTTTTTAAACTTTCTCTTTCAAGAAAATGCAGGCCCTTTTGCATCTTTCCAGTACAATCCAGCCCGCCAATTTTTTCATATATATACAAAGCCCTAACGCTTAACTTTGATATGTTCAATTAATAGCAATTATTGTCTATCCACAAAAAAAAAAAAAGAAGAAAGAATAATGGGGGGAGAGGAAAGTGATGATCAGCTTCAAAAGAAAACAGAGGAAAAGGAGACATCCTCACAACATTGATCTGGGTACCACAAAAACTCAAATGAACTCATAATCTCATGTGGTGCACAAGGTGGTGAAACTATAGAAACGGTTGGGAACAGGGCTTCGATCCCAGTCGCATACTGTCCAAACAACAACTACAACCTTTTAATGGAGCTCACCAATTAGAGTGGTGGTGAGTTGCTCCACCCATTGTAGAAGGGATAAACTAGTGGACTGGCCAAATGGATCAGATAAGCCTGGAGGAGTTCCAGCAATTCTGCATTAAAGATTGTTCGACAGAGCATACACATTAGTTTACAACCACAACTCAAAATTAGAGACTCTAATTCTGGGGAAACATGCACCCAAGGTTGTCAAAATCGAGATTTTACCTAAAATCATTTTGGTTAGGTGAAATCGAAATCGTAAAATCGAATCGGTAAAATCGAGATTTTACAAAATTTAATTTATAATATATAATAAATTATATAAAATCAAAATTAAATAACAATAAATCAAAT